AGAGAGAGAGAGAGAGAGAGAGAGAGAGAGAGAGAGAGAGAGAGAGAGAGAGAGAGAGCTCTGATCAGAACAATTGATGAGGAAACTTGGAGGTACTGGGAGTAGTAGCAGCATACATTTTCTGCTCGATGCTACTCAATTCCGAAATGAAGGATGTGCCTAACAGAGAGGTTCTGAAGACGGGGGAAAAAAAGAACGGTTTTGAAGGAGACGGGTCTCAGAAGCAACAGGGCATAAGGGAAGACAGAAAAAAAGAAGGAACAAAATTTGACGTCTTCCCCTCAGAGAGCACATGTAAACAGCTTGAAAAGTAGTCTCTTCTTTCCAGCAGACATCTACAGCTGTGAAGATGCTATCCTCCTCCTCCTCCTCCTCCTCCTCCTCCTCCTTCTCCTTCTCCTCCTCCTTTTTCTCCACCTCTTCCTCCTTCTTTGACGATGATCGCTGTTCGACCTCCACACCCTGCCCGCATATTCTAATTGCTCCCGAACGTCATCCCAGAAAATAAAAGAAAAGAAAAAGGCTCAAGATTGCGCGCATCGATCGCCAACAGATGTACTAGGCTTCACTATCGCAGAGAACACAACTTTTCATCGTGTCGCACACCGTACGACCATCATCAGCCTTCTGCCAATCTCTGTCGGAACCACCACACCAATACTTGGCCCAGCTATCGGCCGTGGAAAAACATAGAGTAGAAACAAACGCTTCTAGTCGGATGAATTTGGGCGCTCCTGTAGTGGCCCGTACGTTTCCTAAAATCGTGGCGCGTTAACGGGAACGACTTCAGGAAGGAAGTACTGGTGGTTTAAAGGATTACTGCCAAACGTCATCCCAGAGAACCGCGAAGAAGTACACCATGTCATCAGACTCATCACCCCTTATGAACCCCAACAAGTGCTCATGCTGCAGACTCCAGTATCCAATGCGTGTCGAATCATGAGCAACAGGAAAGCTTGCATCCCTCATTTCAGTCGTATTTTTTACGCAAATGCCGAAGCGTCAACTGCCAAGCTCGAAAACTCGGAATGCAGGCCCAAGGCAATAGCACTCCCAGCGTCAGAAGGAAAATGTGCAGGCCTCTGGGTGAAGACAAGGTCCCTGTGTAGTCTCAGAGCGCATGGAAGGCTCCAGTCAGCAAATCAGCGACCATCTCATTCGTGTGCGCCCAGAACGTCCCAAATGGAACTCTCTCTCTCTCATTCTCCTGTCTCTTATACACATCTAGATGTGTATAAGAGACAGGGTATCGTCCATCCTTTTCGTGCTAAGACGGGTT